ATATATATATATATATATATATATATATATATATATATATATATATATATATATATATATATATATATATATACACATATATATATAGTAGAATTCAAATTCAAATGCTGCTAATGCAGCATAATTCTCACATTTCAGCAACCATGTGGACAGCGATGAGGAGTCGATCGAACAGACGAGCTAATGGAAGTTGGGGTGATCTGACCATGGCCAGAAGGAGGCGGATTGGTCTTCCATGCCGCACAACAGGTTGCTGAAGCTTCCCTCCGTGGCGCCGGTCTCGATCTTGGGGGATTGCATCTCTGGCCTGGAAGAACTCTGAAGGAGCTGGTCCATGTCGGCTGGCCTGATGGAGTGAATGAAAGGTAGGCTTTGGTGAGGATTCAAGGGGCTCTCGGTGACCGATGTTCTCGAGATATCTAAGTTGATCTCGGAGCTATTCTCACTTCTGTTGCTGCATGAACCTTCGGTTTCTTTGTTGAGGTTGATCAGCTCCGGTGCCTCTCTGCCTTTGAGCGCCGATATCTGTGCATGGTATGCAACCACCGGAGGTAAAACAAATGTTCTCACAAGAAAGACAAAAAGAAAGATCGCAAGCTATAACACCAACTTGATGATGTTCATGTGAAGTACAAAATAGAAATGCGGATGTGAGAATCCCAATCGCAGCTTTAAGAAACATAAAGGTGATAACTTGACACCACAAAGGAGACGGTTCTTGAAACCATCATCAGGTCATCATTCTCGAAGGCTTATCGATTAGGGAGGAGAGCTATTAAGTGATTGGATAGATCGAGAATTCTCGGGTACCTCAGCGTGGAGCTTCTGGTTCTGTGCGCGCAGAGCCTCATTCTCCGATTTCATGGCCTCGAACTGTCTCTTCAGGACATCGTAATCCTTCTCCAGTTGCTTCGTCTTCCACCTGGCCCTCCTGTTCTGGAACCAGATGGCCACCTGCCTTGGCTGCAGCCCCAGGGCTCGGGCCAGCTGCATCTTTCTCTCGGGCTCCAGCTTGTTCCCCTGCTCGAAGTTCTTCTCTAGTGTCCTCACCTGCTCCACGGTGAGCCTCCTCTTCTTCTCGCCTGTCTGCATGCCGTCATCCGAGAAGTCATCATCGGCGTGCATCTCATCGCCGTTCTCGACCCCCGAGAAGGACAGAGATCTCTTCCCTATCATCGGAGCCATGACTGCGCCACCACCATCCGAGGGCTTCAAGCTGGTTTAGTTCCGGAATTCAAGGAGACAGATGCTTGGAGATGCGTGACAAGCTTACCTCTGAGGTCTTGGAGACTGTTGCATGGGGTGTTGTGAAGGAGGGCGGCAACCGCAGAGGAGAGTTGGTGTTCTTCCTCATGAGGAGTTTGCACATGTATCACATAATTTGGGGAGAAGAAGGAAGAGGATGACGACGCCATACCATTGCAGGACATCAATTTGCTGCAGAGTGCAGAGGATGGCAGGGTCACCCGCCTATGAAACTGCTGAAAGAGAAAAAGAAGAGATGCTAACAACAAGAAGGTTGTGGTGGACACAGACAGAGAGAGATTAGAGAGCAAGTGAGAGCTGAGGTGTGGAAATATATCATTCAACACCGGAAAGAAAGTATAACAAGAATTATATCCCGATGAATATTAACATCATAACTACAAAATGGAGCAAATTGCACTGTCAAGGACTTGCACTCACGAACACCAATGGAATTAGTGTGACCTTTTGTATTTATATACTGCAATGTGACTTGGTCTTCAAGTCCCTATATCCAAGTTTAATTTGCCGAAGAAACTATCTAACATTTCTGCATCTCCACCTACTTGAAGTTAATCCACTGGGTGTTATCCAAACAGATGTATGCTGTACATGCTTTACCTTTCCTCTATCCTAGTTAGCTAGCTAGGGCTAAGATTGTTCCATTTGTGTTGGATGTTCACACAAAAGTGTACTTGGGTCTCCTTGGGGAGAAGAAGTTGTGTGATGTAGGTCAATGAATGAGAGGGGTGAAGAAACAGGGTTGAGATATCCATGCTAGTGAAACAATGATTTGCACAGCAATGGACAACACAAGCATTTAAGGGGATGGTGGCCCTTTGAGAGAAATGGAGGTCAGGAATCAAAGGGATGGGGTCCCGAGAGCTGCTGGGGTTGCTACTTAACTCACATACAACAGCTGTTAGTGAATCTGGCTTCACATCATCCATCGGTCTTGCAGCAAACCAGGAGGAGTAAGGGGAGAGGAGAACATTAACATTTTTGACTCTGGACAAGAACTGGTTGTTTGTTTTGATGAATTAAGATCATCAATCATCCATGACAGTATAATTTCACCATTATTAAGTTGGAGTTAAAAGATCTCTAGATACATTTTAGGGGTTTTAATTTTGTCGATACCGATCGGTCATCAATACGACGGTAACATTACTGATTTAAGCTCCAACACCACGAGTAATTTGGTTTCACTACACAAATCGATCTTGATTTTTTTAATGGTTCATTTTCTTTGCATCATAAAAAGATTTCAACTTCAATTTTGTTAACTTGTAAGAAAAAAAAAATCATTTCTTTTTTTTTATTTTATATTTTGATGGGCATACATGAATACTGAAATGATGATTTTATGGGTGCACAATTTTGTGATCCTACTGATGCAGACGCATGAATTAGATGTAGCTCAGATGTAGGGTAGAGTTAGATATGAGGGGTGCACAGATTTGAATCAGATGTGTGATTATTACTGGTAATGCAATATAGGATGACTAGAAGAAACATAAATGAGGGAGAAATGTGAAGAAGAGATGAAGTCAAGAAAAAACAAGCTCCTTTCCAAGAAGAAGAAGAAGAAGAAGAAGAAGAAGAAGAGCTTGAAAGATTATCGAGTTACATGAATAACAAATCATTCATGATGGCTCAAACTCCCATTGTTGATGCGAGTGTTGGATGGGCCTATCCAAGCGTTGGGCTTTCTTTGCTTTGCTACAGATTTGTGTCTCAGTTCCTCATTGATATGATAGATAGGGAGGCAGAGCTGCTTCTTCCTCGGAAAGAACAAGAGAAGTCACTATATTTTCATGTTTTGACTCTCTTCAAAGCTTCATCAATCTCTATATATTGTCTTACGCAATCCAAAGAAAGAACCAAGTCACAAACTGCTATAGGATGAAGTAGAAGTGAATCTTCTTTCGATATCTCGTAGTGGTTATGTTCTACATCATCGAGGCTGGTGTTCTTGTTTTCTTCTTCCCTGTGATCATCAATGCACACCTACTGAACTGGCGCAGATTTGAACTCATAGGAAGACTGATATCAGCAGAATAATCTTTCTCAAAAAACTCGTGTGTTTGGGGAAGCTACTGTGACGGACTGAGTAAATATATTTGTCTAAGCAAAGTTAATATTGTTTCAGATTCTTATGTGACTAAAACCCTACCAATCACATCAGAAGTATATTGCAGATGATCGATGGCTTTCTTCTTCTTTTGAGGGCAGCTAAGCGTTGCAAGAACATTGATCCGACAAACTCTTTCAATTAAGAACGTTGTTCAAGACTACAAGGACCAGTAGCACTACACGATCGACACACACAAGTTTAGCTCCTCGTTTTAGTACATCGAGACCACGCCGAACCCGCCAGTCATGTTGCAATGAGCACTTCCTGGATCTCATTGCATGGTTCACCACGATGTTCTTGAAATGACACCTTCGTTTGATGCAGCAGACAAATGACCGACCTAAAGGTGGATCTTCTACATGAGCAAGCTTCTAATGATGGCAGCTTGAGCGCTGCTGGACTCCGTGGAAGCGAGCAACTCCGAGAGCCTTTCGCTCAAGTCGTCCACCTCGCGGTGCAGGCTTCTGATGTAGTTGCAGGTCTCCTGCAGGACCTTGGCTGCCGACACCTGCGCACCATGAAGCGTGAGTGAGTCTCGCAGCAAACGAGCATTGGTATATATGCTTGCCTGATCCTCCAAATCAACTTACTCTATCGGATCTGCGAATGCGGGCCTCAGGGAGGACTGCTTGCAACTTGGACACCAGATCATTGATCTGTTCGTCGGTGATCCTCGACGCCGAGCTCGACTGCCACGATCGAGGCCTCCTGCTTGACATCTTCGCTAGCGGACGGCGCTTTCTGGTGTGTATGGGCGTCCAAGACGAGCTATAAATAGGGAAGAACAAGGACTAGAAGACAATGCTAGTGCAAGTTGTTCCTCTTGTGGGGTGAGGGATGAGACAAGTTCTAGGGACAGGATATCGCGAGCTGAGGGAGAACGAGAAGAAGTGGGGAGCGATGTCAGGAAACCAAAAGCTATGTGGGGAAGAGAAGGGTCGACGGAGAGAGAGACAGAGAGAGAAGCAATGAAGATCACAGGAGGTGTTGCTGAGAAGGAAGACAAGCGCATGAGAGAAATTAATGGGCAAGTGGTGCGTCTAAATAGTGACGTTGGAGAGAGAGAGAGAGAGAGAGAGAGAGAGAATCACATCCGGGGGATACACCATGCTGCCATCTCTTCCTGTGTCTGCAAGTGGAGACTTCGGAGAGGAGGAGGGACTACTGATGTCAGTGTGAACCACGCAGACCATGTTATGTTGTACTTTAAAGTATTTGTCCCGCATACTATCATATTGCAAATTACAGAGAGGTGGACATGTCAAGTTTGGTTTTCTTCACCCTCTCCACAGAATCCAGCGAGCGCTCGTCCACCTAATCTTAACTCTCAAATCCAGTCTCTGGTTGATCTCCAGTCGTTTTGCTCATAAGAGAATCAATGCTGTTAATTTGTGTGTGTGTGTGTGTGTGTAAAGACGCCATGAATGATACTTCAATTCCTGTTTTGCACCATCAACATATGACATGCAGGATAGAAGCAATCGGCAGCACTTCTTGGCGACAACCGTGTTGTGTCTTCTCGCTCATGATGGATGTCTCTTCGATGCACAAAATGCATGTGGCTTTCGTTGACAGGTGAAGTGCCCTAGTCATAGTTGCCAACACGAAAGCCCATGCCGACCTCTGCTCTTTTCTATGGTGGATTGCTGCTTTACCTCTCAGAAAACATTTGTTCTTCTCTCCCTCCGAGTCCTTCTGAAGAACACATGTTTCTTCTCCATAGCTTCTCTTATCCATAAAGCATGATCTCTTCCTCTGGATCTACATGTTCACGTCTTAGATCCATAGGTGCATCAAGATGCAGTGACGGAGCAAGTTCAAATCCTCGATAACTTCCCATGATCAGCTTTCCTTCTAAAACAGGACAGAGTAAGATCTGACCGGATAAATTACATGTATACTGAAGAATCCTCATCGTTAGAAGATCTTGAACTTCGCAGTAGTTTAAGATTTTAAACCAGAGAGAGAGAGAGAGGTGATCTTCCAGGCACCTGGGTCAGCGGTATAGCTGCAGTTCTTAAGCCATCACCATGCTTTGCTTGCATCATCCATAATTTAATTTAAGAATCTCTCATAAAAAAGTCTTCTTTGATTTAAGAATCAATGATATGTTTAAGATTACAGGGATGATCAAATAATGATCAGGGGAGAGGCTCAAGCACAAACAGAATGCTCTTCTTGCCCAACCAATCACAGCAAAGCACCAGGGGAGAACACCAGTCCCTCCCATGGCTTGGATCTACCTAACACCTCTTCTCGTTTCATATAATACATGACACACAACTCTGAGCATTAGCAGCAGCAATAGAATAAGATTAGATGCTCACTAAGATCTAATGATGAAGCTCACACCTCCATGTTGTTTACTGGCACCGCAGTACCGGACTGAGTTCGACATAGTACTAAGCTCAGCTAGCTCTCTGTATAATATGTGTTTTAAGTAGCAGTTTGCAGACAAATACAGGTAGCCATGACCTACATGAGACAGCAAGAATACAGTTAACTCTGCCGAAATTATATGGTTAAATTGATTCGGAGATGACAAGAGAAGAGTTTCCATGCTGCCTCGCACTTGATGGATCACATGATTTCCATCCGATCGACAGCGAAGATGCGCAGAAGATCACAAGGCAATTTGGTGCTTCTTTCTGGTGAGCTGTTTTTGTGGGAAAGCAGAGGCAAACATACAACCACGCCTTGTTTCGCAAGCCGAGGGAGGATCCGATGAGCACTTGACAGTCTTCTCTTCTTCCCCATGTAGATTGCATCAAGCTCTTTCGGTCAAACCAAGAGGAACAAGGAATCACATGCAAAGCTGTCGTATGATGCCCCACAAGGATACTCGATGTTGAAAAGCTTGAGAAAGCTTTCTTCTACACCCATGTGGTGCTGTAAATTGGCACTGTAATCAAAACCCAAGTTGCTTTACTGGTGGAGCGACTGCTGGGCCAGTAATGGCAATGATGCCCCATGTTACAGGAGTGCCAAGCAGCTTCTTTTACATGCTCAAAACCATGTTTAGGAATGATAAGCTGGTGCCCGAAGCAATAAGAGAAAGAGAAAGACTGGTCTGACTAAAACCCTAAAGAGGCAATGATTCCAGCCATATGCTGATGCAACTACCCGAAATCAATGTACAATGATCAGGAACTTTATGCAGTCACTTTTTGGTTATTTTGTACTGAAACAAAGTCATGCGTCAAAGAAACACTATGCACAGACACAGCACAGAGGCCACTTTGTAACTTGCAGGAGGAATAGCTGAAAGCCAGAAGAGAAGTCACGGATGCAATGAATACGGTCATCCCTACTGGCTTTCTTTCAGAGGGAGTTGGATTGATTCATGGACAATCATTTACAGGATCAATTTCCATCTTTTGGAATATGACTTGAAGCACAAAGCATCAATCCTTGCTAGCTACTGCCGGGACTTGAAACAGCTTCCAAAAACCTCTACTGAAGATGGAAATAGATTAGGAACAAAGCTAGCTCTTGTTAGGTTAACAGTGGAAGCCAAGCGCTTGATACATCCATGAATGTAGGATCAACACAAATGCAAGGATGCATAAGCTTCAACGATTTTGGTTGTGTGTTCCACCCAACTATTTTATATACGTAAAGCTGTCCTTTGAGTGTAGCCAAGTCTATACACCATCATCATATATTTAAGAACACATGGCACCGCATGTACATTATTCAGTCTTATACGTTACATCCCTCACGTGGCCGCATCTCTAACGAGCAGTGACATGGAGTAATGTGATGGACGGTGCTGCTGTTTCTTGCGACGCCTTCTTCCATTTGTTTTGAGCTTCCCCAAAAAAAGTCGGTGAAAGGCTCCGTGCATCGGCGCCACCTTTCCAGAATTATGATGTGGATGACATCTCGTTGATGTGATCGTGACTTGTAGTTTGGGTATTTGGATCTTTTACGTTCGTAGAAAAGGGTGCATTAGAATCATGGATTACGTTGTGGTTTGGGAAGGGTGTAAGAAGAAGAAGAAGAAGTGGAAGAAGCACAATCCATGCTCTGAGGCCTTCAAGAGTATCTTGAAAGGCTCGATGAGATGTGATCCTTCCTTGTGCCTGTTTCGTGAACTTGTTTGATGCATTCCCCAACATCATTTGGATGATCAAACGCTAGAAATATCTCAAGAGTTTAGGATGTAGCATGCAAAATTCTGTAGGCCCAACAATGAAGGGCCTTTCGGCCGTAAGATTCCAGTTTCCAATCACCATTGTTCTTGTTTCAAAGCCACAAATTTCTGAAACTAATCAAGATGTGTCTCTTCAGATAATAATATATGTATATATATAAACCATGCCAAATTACATTTACTAAAGAAAAATTCAAGAGCAGTGTATTCTGACATTCATCAAAACCATTCAGTAAAATTATAATTCCTTTTCTTCGTATACAAACCATTTGTGTATACTTGAATCTGTTATTCTGATCACCATGTTCCCCAAGCAAACTAGTAAGTACGCCACCAGGACTGTGAACACCCATATGCAGAACAACATGCATGGTAGGAATGACATCGAGGTAAGACGAGGACCATATATAGCTGTGTCGGCAAGAGGTAGCAACTTCATCCTGTAGGGTTTATGTCCTCGAGAAGTGCGTAATATGGAAATGGTATATATGGCGTCTCTCATCTTCACTTAGGTCTTCTGTTTCTTTTCTGTATGGACACTGTAACAGTCTAAAACAAATAATCTATTTTCCAACTCATAAAATCTGAATTTACATCACACATATGATCTGATGAATGTGGCAGCATCAGTTGGATGCCAAGCTAATATAATCCGAGGATATGACTCCTGAAAGATCTGAATCTCCTGCTTTATGGGCTCAATTAGTGCACGCTGCTACTGACATACCTCTTGTACAGAACTCACGAGCTACTGAAACTTGATCTGAAGAACGTATGTCTATGGGGAACATACAGAAGAGATTGGTTCATGCAGAACTCAGTAGGAGTTCGACACAAGTATGGCCACCAAGTTTCTTTCATGGTGTGACTAGTCGGTGGAGTTTTTAGGTTATTTGCAGCAGAAAGGAAAATGAGGAGAACCTAAGAGTGTTGCAGTTTGTAAGGCATAATAATGAGTTGCTCGTAGGGAGAATAATTAGTTTTGACGGAGGTAATAGGAGCGCTTCTGCCATGGCCAACTCGGGAATCAAAGTCAAAGAGGACAGTATGAGGTACGTATACATACTGCAACTGCTACATGTGTACAACAACTGCCGCATGCAAAGTAGAACGAGATGCTAAGATGTAACAGCGCATAAAGGTCATACATGCTGCGGCTGCTCTTTTCTGAGGATATATAGATATATACTACATGCAGATTAAGTACGAGATGGTGAGCGAACACTCACAGGCCAAAACAGTTGGTCATTGCTCGACGATGGAGATGGCCCCAAGAGGACTTCTATCAATCACCGATGGGGAAAAGACAGAAGAGGGTAAGAGGGCTGTGGAGATTGAAATGGCTACGATTAACCTACCTCAGACATGAGCACGTGAGCGTGGCGACGAACTGGGGGCATCCCATGCACGACTGTCTACCCCATGCAGATGCATATCACGTCCCGTGGAGACCAGATTCAGATCACATCAGAAACCTCTCTCTCTCTCTCTCTCTCTCTCTCTCTCTCTCTCGCTCACACACACACACACACACACACACAGAAACCCAGTATTTTGCAGAGTCAGTAAAAAGGACAGAAGTAGTAGTACAAGTGATAGCATCATCTAGCAGTTTATTAGACGAGATGAACACTTGATTCAAGGAGCGGCAAAATCAAAGATACGCCAGCTCGATTGATAATGGCAGGCTATCACAGGTGACAAATTGGTGAAACGACGGATGACAATTCTTGTGGGGAGCTTTGCACTCTCGGAAAAAGACTTCACAACCTTTGTGGGGGGGCACCATTTAATCGTTGTTCACTAGCAGCTGGACCATTCATGAGAAATCCAAGGCAAACATAGTGCACATGAAGCATACACCGAGCATGGAGAAGTACTTCCCAGCGTACTATTACTGTTTTGCTCACTTCTTGTACTTAAAATGCCAATTATTTAGCTCTGCAATCATGAAGCAATGATACATGAATGCCTTCTTATCGTTTATATTTTTTGAACCTTTGGAAGGACTACTTAATTTGTTATTTTTGAAAGGAATATTTTTTTTGATATTTTTTATATGCACATACATACCTTGTTCTTTTTTTTATACACACCCATATATATATGTTTGTATGTATGTATGTATACCACTACGCACACATAGAACACACTCAAATATGCATATAATGAAAGTAAGAGGTCTATATAGACCTTCTCTCTCACTCATGTACCCCACAGGCACCTCCAAAGCCTTCCATGTGTGTGTTCTATTATGATCCAAAGTAGTTACCAACTCAACCTCTTATCATCCCCCAACTCGAAAAACATGTAGATATGGAATTATAGATAATTTTCATTGGTTGATTGTCGACGTAATAATGTCAAAACCTCAATTAGTGTTAATACTTTGTTAAAAGAAATGTTACATATGTTTCAGTTTTTAGGAAGCCACCACCTAAGTTGATGTTTTGGAAGTGTACCCCATTGGAGATTTAGGAATACATTAGCCCTACAAATCTATAAGAGAAGACAATACCAAGAACAAGAAAAAGATGTCCTATGCCAAAAACAGAAGAGACACAAGGCATCTTTCAGGTACAAAGTAAAATGGTTAAACAACTACCTACACAAAATGCCCTAAGGTCAACTGATTCCTTTGTTTTAGCCATTTTCCAGAGAGAGACACTGGAGAGAGAGAGAGAGAGAGAGAGAGAGGTGTGGGGCTCCTGCTGCCTCCATGGGTGATGGGCCAGGATCAAGTTGGGCCCAATGGTAGAGTACAGAGGGGTGACACATGGTCCCTGAGCTACTCTATCTAGTATAACTCTCCTGCCTTTTCCTTTCTCTCTTCCCTTCTATATAAAACACTGCATTTCTTCTCTTCCCTACGCTTGGCTCCATAGCTCAGAGGAGGGAAAAGAGAAAAAAGAAAGGCGTTGCAGACATTACGACCATGTCCGGCAGAAGTAGCGCGATCACGGATGAAGAGATCAATGAGCTCGTCTCCAAGCTCCAGTCTCTGCTCCCGGAGTCGCGCCGGCGCAGGAGTGCAGGCAGAGTGAGGAAACAAAGCGCCAACTGAGTCTCTTTGTTTGTCGGTGGCCACTCCATGAAGGTTCACTAAAGAGTGTGTGTGTGTGTTATGGGCATGCAGGCGTCTGCGTCGAAGCTGCTGAAGGAGACATGCAGCTACATCAAGAGCTTGCACCGGGAGGTGGAAGACCTGAGCGACCGCCTCTCCGACCTAATGGCGACAATGGACAGCAACAGCCCTCAGGCTGAGATCATTCGGAGCCTGCTCAGGCCCTAGAGAGAGTTTTATATTGATGTTGTCCTCTCTCTCTCTCTCTCTCTCTCTCTCTCTCTCTCTCTCTCTCTAATACTACATCAGGAAGCCTGGTCAGTAGATCTGAGGGTTATCTAAGGTGCTCAAGAGTATATAATAAAGGTGTAAACTAGTTTAACTATGCTTGATGATTTTGCTGCTGTTTAATATATTAGGCTTCTTAGCTTCTCGATACATTACTCGATATGCACAATAAGAAAACCTATAGAAACCTTCATAAAAATATGAAACAAGACAAAGAAGAAAAAGAACACCTAGAGGAATGCATAGTAAACTTGCAAAACGCCAATTCATAGACTCTTCCCTCAAAATGAAAGAAAGAAAGAAAGAAAGAAAGAAAGGCAAAAGAAGAAAAAAGAGGAAGAGGAAATGATGACCAAGGAAACAATCTTGTTAGAGACACATTGTAGCAAGCTTGTTTTAAGGAATCTGACGTCCAAACAACTAGATTTAAATCGACCAAAACGAAAGGCATAACCAAAGGAGGACAGGGATCATTGCACCATGTGATCGATGACAACAAAATCTACCATGCGTCAGAAAAGTATGAGAGAGAGAGAGAGAGCAAGGGAGGAAGGATCATAGGCAGGTCCAAACGCTGCAGTATAATGTCAAGCTTTTCGGCTAAAGCAAAAACGTCGCAGACGTCTCCAGAACTGAATCAACTTTGGAGAAAGAGAGGCTAAAGCTGCATCGAATGGTTGCCGACTACCGAGCCTTCTGCAGCAAATTAGCCGTCGAGAAAAGCTGGACGATTGTGTCCTCGGCTGGGACCGGAGACGAGGTGACTGTACGTCCGCAGTGGAAATGACACGCCGTGGGACCGAGGAGGGGACCGCCATGGGCGCACCTAATCTGACGGCTGCCGGTACGAGCACGAACATTGAGGCGCAGCGGGCTCGGCGTGGGGCCCTCCACCGTGTGAGGCTGAGGCTGAATTGGCGCCACAACCTATTAAACATTAAGGTCGATGAGAAATTAGGTTAGCGAGACAACCGTTTAAACTCTGGTTGGAAACATGATAGGTTCTCTCAGCTATAAACATGTCATAAGAGTACCAAACAAACAAAACCTTCGGTAGAATGAGATGAAAGAAGCCTGAATCCAATGATTCAGAGAAATACATATATACAGATTAACTCAAGCCATCAATACTGCTTCCCCACAAACTCACCGTTTTGCCTTTGGCAACATCACATTCATGAATTCTTGTAATGCGTCAGTGACATTCTTCATTTTGATCATTAACAAATGGGGAAAAAATAATCGGATTTGCAATGTACATTTCTTGATTATAGTGATATACCAGTGGATGCTTTATTACATCCTTCCTCCTCGCTGCTAGTACTAATGCCACAGCTACCACATCTCTCTTCTTGTGATACTGGTGAGAAGTCCAAAGGAGAAGACCCGACCCAAGTCCGACAAAGTCGGATATCCGGCATGTAGTCTCATCACCCGGGAAGGACCAGGCGGCGTTGGTGGTGGAGTGCTTGTTCTTTCCACCGGAAAAGTGCTGGAGCTGCCGAATGGGGGTTGCTTGTGTGGATCCATTAGCAACTGGCTGATGCAGCATTGGAAGCCCTGTGGCAGTCGGCTGCGGCTGAGTGGGAGTCATTGAATTGATGTTGTTGCTCCATGTGGGATTATAACTCGATCTCCCCTGCAGCTCCTTTTGGAGCTGGGATGTTTCAGCTTGTAATGTAGTGTTCTCATCTTTCAGCTCATTCCTCTCCGTGGCAACCTGATACATTCACCACATTCAGATATATATACGCAAAACCAGCATTAGAAATTGTAAGACCAACCAGGAGACAACATACAAAAGTCATTGTCCGGATCACAGCCACAGTCCTGGAGTTTCCAAAAACAAAAGAAACTAGAAAGAATGTTCCAAGAAAAGATGATCAGAATTGGATTAATGACAGCACCATGACAAACTGCCATATGTGTTGCCCATTGGTATCTGTAGCAAAAAAGAACTATAAAATCAAATGTGAATCATTTTCTTATTCGGCACAAGGTTGTGAAATTAGATTATTTTGCATTATGAACTCTAGAACATATATAATATACTATGTTTCAGACTTGCAGAATTTACTGCATGAACCATTTTGATTGGCAGAATTCTAGTGGTATCAAAAGAAGTTAGATTGTAGTGAGCATCTTTTTGGAATTTGCTAAAAATGTCTGAACAAATGAGCCAGTATACCAACATCTTGCAGGCAATAAATTAACTAATAACTTCAGTGCTAAGCACATAATTGCTAGAGATATTTAATTTACCAATGGCAAAATTTCTGCAATCTTATAGTAGATGCCAACAACGATGTAAAGTTTCATTTGCCGCATGGTATAAAATGTGGTCTTTCTCTAATCAACAAAGAGTAGAATAAAATCGCCTTGCAAGTTTTGATATTTCAATTAACTTATGCAGTGGAGTTTCTATCGACATTTATGTATATCCATGGCATACAAAAGTGACAACATTTCTAAGATTTAGGGTCGACGGTTAGGTTTTATACTAATAGTGTGATTCAGATAGCATAGCTGCATTTTCCTTCCTGAGAGATTCTACATGCGCGAAGAGATATCTGAGTACTCAGGCAGTATCACCCAATATGGAAGCCTTACAATTGTTTTGTCGGTCTGGTTCTGCACATAGAGATTAAAATGGGATGAAGTTCCTTATTCAAGAAAACATACAAAACCTTCCACATGAAAATTATGTTTACCAAGATGGGCATAAAGATGTAATTTTAGTATGTATTGTAGCGAGAAAAACATATTCAGACATGACAAATGGTTTTCTTGTTAAACACAGCTGCTTCTTCATGTATATGGTGGTAATGCACAAAACTGGTGGCTGGGCTTACTATGCTATGTGTATGTAGATATATACTGCTTAGGGATAATGTGGCTTTGAAAAACAATGCATAGGATAAGATTTTTATATCAAGTTTGCTCTTTGAAAGAATTCAAAAGAAAATTTTAAAAGGTGATGGAGGCTAGCAAAATCACTGAATTTTCCACAAGCAGAAGGTTAATGAGTTGCATAAGACAAAATATTCTGACTCAAGATCTTGAGGACTCCCTAGATGATTTGAAAGAGCTTCTAAGTGGCTATCATTGATGGTAATCATAAAAGCAAGTTGATAAACTCTTCAGGAAGCATATTTGGAAAGATGAACTTTTAGTAAAATTTGAAAAACATTTATTCACTAGTAGGAATCATCTACATCTACATCAACAACAACAACAAAACCGTAAGTCCCAATTATTTGGGGTCGACTATATGAATCTTTTGCCGTTATTGAGATATGTAAAAGGTCATATGTTTGATTATATTTAGATTATTTTAATCTTTATTTATAGTTTATATTAAAGTCTTTTCAAGTCTTCCTTTATATCTTCTCGTACCACTGATACTCATCATTTCACCTCTTTTGACTATTGCATCCGGAGGTCTCCTTAGCACATCCATATCATCTTAAATGATTTTCTTTAATATTATCCTCTATCGAAGTGATACTTAGTTGTTCATGAATAAAAGTGTTTTTTCATATTTTTCCTAGTAACTCCATACATCCATCTCAACATTTTCATTTTGACAATACAAACTTTTTTGTATGTATTGTTTCTTAACTGTCTAACACTCAGATTCATAAAGCATTACTGGTCTTATAATTGTCTTATAAAATTTTTCTTTTAATCTCAAAAGTATCCAATGATCACACAAAACTCTTGATGCCCCTTATCATTTTAACCATCTTGTTTTTACTCTTTAAGTAATATCTTTATCGATTTGTCCATCTTATTGAATAATTGATCCAAGATACCTAAAGTTTTTCCTTAACGGAATTTCTCGTCCATCCAACTTGGCTATATTCTCCTGTCTATTTCTAGAATCACTAAAATTAGATTTTATATATTTAGTTTTAGTCCTATTTAATCTAAAACCTTTAATTTCTAAAGCTTACCTTCATGACTCAAGTTTATAATTAATTTTACTTATGCTCTCATCAACTAAGACAATATCATCGGCAAATAACATACATCAAGGAAGTCTATCATATAAGTGAACTATTATTAATGTGAAAAAGTAAGGATTTAATACGGATCCTAGATGTAATCCTATACTAATAGAAAATTCACTAGACACACTCTATAGTTCTAAAACTAGTAGCTATATTATTATACATATTTTTAATAACATTAATATAATTAATGGATATATATCTTTCTGTTCTAAAAACCATCATAATAAATCTCTATGAATCCTATCATAAGCTTTCTCTAAGTAAATAAAAACCATATGCAAAACATTTTTTCTTCCTATATTTTTTTCATTAATTGTTTTAATAAATAAATAGCTTCTATGATTAATCAACCAAGTAGAAAACTAGATTGATTTTCAGATATATTTGTTTCAAGCCTTATCCTACTTTGATTACTCTTTCCCAATGTTTCATAGTATGAATCATGATTTTAATTCCTCTATAATTTGAACAGTTTCGTATGTTATCCTTATTTTCGTAAATTGACACTAAAAAACTCTTTTTTTCATTCATTAGACATCCTTCTGAATATCATGATTTTGTTAAATAAGCTAGTTAATCAAGCTATTTACTTATCCCATAAACTTTTTCAGACCTCAATAAGGATACCATCAAGCCTCACACTCAAGTTCTAATCACCACAATATATGGTCTACATACTCCTCGGTAACGTGTCGATTATGTTCTGATCACAGCAATATGCACCATAATTACCATACACATATATCGTAACTGACCAAAGAGACATTTACCAACTACATGACCAACCACAAGAAAGAGTTCATTCAGCTGGTCACGTTTAAGTTTCTCTCTTTCAGCTTTATGTATCTTCTTTGGAACTCCGCTCTGGTTCTTTTTGCTAGAAAGAGACATACAACAGCAAGCATCTCAGAATTTAGATTTGAAACAAACAGAAAAAGATAATGGGTCACAAATTATCTGATAAGATTCTTAGGAACCAGCTGCAAATACAAGTAATCTACAAGATAGATCAAGTGTTAATAGATCACCAATATAAGTCATAATCATACTGAAAGTTTAAAAGCACACTGACTTACTGTGAGTTATAGTTTGCATGCATGTCCTAATTTGTATAAATGGGTCAGGTCAAACGACTTGCATGGAGATGCCTCTGTTTGGCTTCATATTTCACGTTGAGGATTAATGGCTTTGATGTGCACAAAATTAGAAGCCACTTAGCAAGCGTATGCTGCATGCAGTATCCCAACAGTTTTATAGGATCTTTGGATATGCCGATATGAATACTGATATCTACCTTAACCACCAACTGTAATGATTCTATCTCAGAAGACAATGCAAGCTTCATGAACTTTTGACACATTAAGATCCTAAAGTGCTTCAAAATAAACATGTTCTTATCCATCAAGGACTTCCACTGCATGTAGAGAGAAGAGTTCCCAATGAACCCCTGATGGAAGCACTTGGGTTGCTTCACAGGGTAGAGATTAGGTTGAGCTAGTATCTTTATACAGCCAGCAAGCTGCTGCAGGGTTCCACGGATCAATATACATACTTTAATCTTTACTATTGCCCTATAAGTCAAGCAATCCATGTAGCTCAAACTTTAGACGGCATTATTTGAGGGACCAGAACCGTCACATGCATAATATAGTCAAACAATATCAAAGACAAGAACACCACAGATCTAGCAACATCAAGCAACTCCGGTTATCAATAACAGATAAGAAAGCTTAAAACTGCGGTGACAAGTTATTGACCAACCCGCCAACTGTCGACTCAGTTGCCACATTTGACTCGTTAATAGTAGTAGAGGGATCGTCCGACACCATTCTCCAAGCTGTCCTCGAATAACCTACCAAACTACTCTTTCTTAGTGAGACCGCATTGCCAGAAAGAACATCTCAATAAGTTTCGCAATCAGTTTAGTTCGTCTATATAACGAGGTTGCATAAAAGACCACCGTTTTTAACATTAAATCGAATAGAAACAATTGATTGGACAACGGCACACTTCGGAAGCAACAATTCAATCTTTCCTCCTTCAAAAAAAGAGTTCCGAGTTTCCGGATCCGAAAAGAAGCAAGGTTGAGCGTTGGAACTGCGCTAATCCGGTTTTACCAATTCGAAACCCAACTAAAATCTTGACATTGAGCATCACAGTCGCGTCTAAACCCAAGGAAAGCGAAGCACGACAAACTAAGTCAAACCAAGAAACCATGCCACAACCTAAAAGAAGAGATCGAGGGGACAAAGATCAATCAGAGAAGCCACGATCACCTGCGTCGCCGAGTTGAATTAGGGTCGGTGTGTTGGTTTGGGGGATTAGTGCTGCTGCTTGCTCTGCTCGGTGTTAGAGAGGAGGGGGGCGGGGTGGAGAAACCCTCGCCCTCGCGTGTGCCGAGCGGCCTTCTCCCTCTCCCTCTCCCTCTCGTCTCGCCCAGGTAACGATGCTGACTGTACCCCCGCACGGTGGCCTTTTCCGCGAATGACTTGGCGTCCTACGCATGAAACAGCCCAGACACCTCTCTCTCTCTCTGGGACCCTTTCTTTCTTCCCCGAATGGTACCTTCCTATTGATTAGAAGGAAGGGACCCACATATGCGATCATACTAATCTCGATTATCATACCAAAAATAATTTTTTTTATAATAGATTAAGAAACAATATATAAAAGGAAAATATTTTATGAAATGTTTCTGGACAAAAAAAAATTTCCTAACCGTCCTTTTGAACTGAATCTCAATATTTTTAGATAAAATATTTATTATTGAAGATGTTGAATTTTGAATATATTTTTTTAAGTGGTAAGTGACGAAGAAGCTAAAGACCTTACAAAATATATATTTTAAAATTTGAATTTGAGTGCTTGCTCGTAGATTTATTTGTAACCGTCGATCGAGGTGATTGATTCGTCAACAAATGGTATCTATGTGGAGGTGACATGAATGTTCCCGAGTGGTGATTGGGTGAGTTTGGAGATGAAGCCCATCAACACTTGGGCTTTGATGGTTATCATTAGTGTAATGGATGTTGAACTCTTGTAACCCCAACCACTTAAATAGTTAGCCAAACCCATGGAGTTAGGAAAGGACATATTGAAGGGACTATTTAGTAATCATATAAATCACATAAGATGAAAAATATAAACGTAGCTTTAGCACTAGTATAAATGTTAACTTCTCTATCAGTAGGTACGGTAGCTTGGCTTCGCTTAGAATAAGCTTTTGAATTCTAATATCCTATCAAAATAAAATTAAATTGATGGCCATTTTGATAGTAGCTAGATATAGGCTTAAGATCTCCCCCGAGCTCAAAGAGATGAGCTACGACAACTTGGCTAGGTAATCCTTTAATTTGTCAAAGGCTCTATAATACTCTTTTATTCATTCAAAGCCCTTTAGGTTTTTTAATGCTCGGAAGAACATAAGACATTTGCCACATAATTGAGACAGGAATCGATTAAGGGGTATTAGTCGACCTATTAACTGTTAAACCTATTTGATCGATCGAGATGGGTGCATTTTTAATATGGCCCATATCTTCTCAAAATTTCTGTCTATTCTTTATTAGTGCATAATGAACTTTTTTGAATTAACCTTGAAGACACTTTGTTGGGTTAAGGTGCATCTAAAATTTTCTCAACGTTTAGAATGTTTATGTTGGGAAATCACGGATCGATATCTCATGCATAGTAGAAAACAAAAACAAAATCATATTTTCTAAAGTTAAGTACTTGATCATTATGCGACGATTGGTAGATGAGAAAGTCGCAAAACCACACATATCATGTGAGAAGTGTTACCTAGGGAGATCGTATATCCTTAAAATTTTTAGATTCGATAGAAAAGATAGAAAATTCACATACTCCTCTATAGCGATAATCCATACGACTAATGCAACGATGACACTCCTTAGATTACTACGAGATCTCTCTCTCTCTATGTGCAGCACAATATTACCGGAGTCAAGGAAAAAAGAGAGGAGGCTAAGGAGAATAAGAGGGGTGATCACCAGTAGTTCTAGCCTATGAACCGTGAGGTTCCTCCTATTTATAAAGGTGCATGCAGCTTAGCCCTTAATTGATTATATCATTATTGGATATTAGAACTCTATCCAATTACATAATCTCATTGGATCTCATCTATATGATCCAAATTATGGGTTTCGTGGATATCTCATATCCATACTCCACTCGTCGTAATATCCATCATATGTTTATGACCCTCTAGGCTTGATACCGAGCTGGTTGTAAGTCGATCTTATTAGAACTCCTTTTGATATAGTGAATTATTATCTTTATAATAATTTACTCGACTCGTCGACTATGAACGTATTAGGCCACTACGCCATAGTCCCCAAACGGTGTATGGGATCTAATCTATTGGACATGTTTGTCTTCAATTACCATATATCTATAGTCCATCGTCCATCTAATATCCTAGAGATTGTATATTGAGTATGGTAACGTTAAGCCCATACGAAATGTCACTAAAGATAGTGCACTTCAAAAATAAAACAAGCACCTAACAACTTATCTACTTGGTGTTGACTACTTGTTGATGGTTAACAGTAAAATTTTGAGGCCTCTACTTCACTGGTCATGCCTCAGTGAGATGTTCATATGGTGCTAATGCACGCTGGGATCAATCCTAAGCATATCTCTCGATGACTACATAAAAACTTTCATGTTGCTTTAGAGGAAGTCAATGAGTTGTACCCTCCTCGGTTAACACCCACTCTTATTTGTTTTATGTTGGTTGATTTATGATCATGTTGTATGCTAAGAGAATGTCCACTATTATGAATTTGGTTGAGATCGTCTTTGAGTAGAGCTTTTTCCCAAATATGATGTGCTAATTGACGATCCCCAAAGGAGAGATAAAATTACTAATGAACCCCATCAAGGAAAAGACCATCGAGGCAAGGTCATTAGTCGTCAAACCCAAGTACTAATAAGCATCATAATAGAGGATGTCGACGGAGCTTCTTATTTCAACCATGACCCTCTTCACTAGAGCATTAATCATCCTCATAGATACCACCAGGGCATTGTCATTGTTTAAATCAAGGTACCCCCACTTCTTCTTCCTTATATGTTATCTCTAAGTTATCATCCATTCTTTATTGCTTCTCGATGGTGGCTTCACATAAGCCTTGTGGATTGATGAGCTATCCTTTCCGAACACTAGTCTACTAATTATGGCATCAATCTATCTCTCCACTGACCCCTCTGGTAATGGTAAAGACTCCCCATCAGTCTCTCTCTCTTTGCTTGCTAAAGTCTCAAGAGGGTTGTCACAAGCGTTTGGGACACACATTCATAATGTAGTATTGCTTAAGCTCCTTGGCTAGTTGGGTGAAGGAAATCATCGAGAATGACTTGTAGATGGGCATTTCACTTTCGAGGCAAACTCGTAGTGTGGTGGGGAAGGTACAACATATCAGGACATCTAATAAGTCGTATAGCATCATCTAAATACGAAAAGCCACTATGTGTTCAATTGGGTTTGTGCCACCATCAAACACCTACAAAGTCGACAAATAAAAATTGATGGGAATTGGCTTCTCTTGAATTTAAATAATTGTAGTTACATTTAAAGGGTATAATTTATGGAATCCACTGATTGCGTAGCCTTAGACTCGATCAAGATAGATTATGGGTGGCAAGGTCGGCTAAACTCCATGGTAGGTGACTGAAGCACCTTGTTTGTCAAATGCTCAACCGACCTTAGGCATTATTGAGGGATTGGCATCACGTTAGGCCAAATGACCTTAGTCGGTGTCGATGGGACTACGAGCTATGAAGGGCTGGAGCCATTGATTTGGCTAGCTGAGATAAGAGTGGGGCAATAATGTGCATCATCCCTGTTAATATTATACTTTCTAGGTGATGTTGATGTTCAAAAATATCTTAGTGAGAACAAGTATGTGGGTCAGGATCCCCATTAGGGGAGAGAAGTCGAGGTCATTAAATAGATGCTGATATTGTATTGGGATCTGTGCTAAGGTGGATGCATCGAGATTTGAAAACATCAATTACTATCCCTTATGAGTGAAGGTATTACAAGTCAAGGATGGATCATCCTTGCTCGAACACTAGTTGAGCAAGTCAACGAGCTGACGTTCTTATAATATGGACCCTTCCAAATATTAGGAAAAATTCGATGACATCTAAATCAATTAGAGCCCATGTGCACAAAAGAGGTGAGTTACTGCTTGGGTGGCTTAACGACTTTTATGGGGGCTGAGGCACATCTGAGTGTGCTTCATGATTGACCTACATGAGGATAAAGGTCAGATGGTTTTTTCGACTTAGTCTCTTCAACGTTCAAATCAATTTCAACGAGAGTGAAAAAGATTTAATAAAAAATAATTAATCTTGATTATCATATCAAACATAACCTTTTATAATGAGTGAAAAATGAGGGATAATATTCTCCTGGATAGAATATTCCCTAGCCGCCCTTTTGGATCCGTGTTCATGTGGCCCAATCGTTTGCCAGATCTGCCTCCTAATCATTGATTATACTATCATGCATACCGTCATATATCGAGCGATGAATTCCGCCAATCAATTAATATATAGCATTTGTGCTTATATTTATCCGCACATGCTGGGAATCATTGTCTCACGAGGAAGCAACTTGTAAACATACACCATGATGATGTTGAGTATGGAAATATTCTGCTTAAATGCATTAAACGAGGAAGTTGTTTGGTGACTTGTATTATATTCTAAGTTGACTTCTCAGCCAGCGTAAAATATATTTAGAAATGTGAAATGATCAAAGAAGCTGAGCTCAATCGAATCAAGAACTTATATTCTACTTGCAGCATTCTGAGAGAATTCCTGGACACTAGGATGAAGAACTTGCCATTAAACAACCACCCTTGTTAATATTAGAGAGTGATGGTTGTTTTGTCTCTTTCTTCGATGCAAGTGGCGTTTGGCTTTGTGTCAAGGAAGACTGACTTCACACTAGTGGACTACGGAGGAGGCCCGTGTGAAGCTCCATTTGTCGCCATGGCAGAATGCATCACTTCTATCTGCGCTCACAAAGGCGAAGGAGTTGAACCTTTCGGTGCGCATAAATTCACAAAGCCTGTGAGAGTTGACTAATCATCTGTCTCTCTCGAGGTAAGTTCACGGATGATATTAATCTATCCTTTATTGGCTCCTAAATTCCGGGTGAGTATTTTTAGTGCTTTCATACGAACTATCCGAGATGTTCCCAACATATAAAGTTTTCAATTTGGATTTTCAAGTCACAACAATCTTTTATATTGTGGTCATAATCCTGATGGAACTGATAATATTTGGATTTGTCTCTTTCTGTCAATTGAATCTTTATTTAATGAGGGTCTTTAAGAGCTTCTTCTCATAGAAATACTTTAGTTCTAGCTATATCTAGGGGGGTTTGCTCGAATCTTAGGAGAGATAACTCGGGTCGTTTATTTCTCCTGTACGATGGTGTCCTTGGGTTTAGAGTGGATTGTAGCTACTCCTGCTTTAACCTCTTGCGTGACTCACGTTTACTCGAGACCATTATCTCAGTGATAATATATTGATTGACCATTTGATGTGCCTTTGGTACAATCGCTGGTAGCCTCACTATCAATGATTAGAAGAGGTGAGAGGGCTTGAGCCTCATCATGAAGGTCTGTATTATGAGTAACCGATGGATATTTACCACACCTTAGATTTTATTCATAAATCAAGCGATGAAGTCTATAAGCATTTCCTTCTCCCCTTGCTTTAGTTCGAGAAGCGGTACCACTGATGGCCTCGCGAGCTGGCCAAAAGAACTGATGAAAAGCACGAGTGTACCATTCTCGTGTTGGGCCTTTTAATGTGGTCGAAAAGATGTGACACATCAGAGCATTCAAAGTATCATAAAATAATATTTAAGCACGGAAAGCTATAATGTACTCTATCGGGTCAGCACTACCACCGAATGCTTCTGATAACAGGAGGTGAAAGTTTACTAGAATTGGCTCCTCCTGAATTTTCTAGGTGAATGACAATCAACCTTAGGTGGGGTTGACAAGCACTTCCCCTTTTAATTGTTAAAACTCTCATCATATCTCCTCCAAACGTCGATTTATCTATCGTAGTTGGATCTGTAGAGAATCCTGTATTGAATTCATCGATTATGTCTCAGATTCAGGCAAGATAGAGTAGTGATGTGGTCCGTTGAATTCTACGGTTGGGAATCGAAATATACTCCCAGCTAGTGGTTTGATTAGTCTCGAGTGCTCCTAGGATGTCGATACCACATCGAGTGGGGGAACCATAATGGGTGATAGTGCTAATAGCGATTGAGCTAGGGACCATGATTGAATTGGTGGCGTCGCTTGTTAGGCTAATTAGGGCAAAAGTGAAGCGACAACCTATATTATGCTTTTTAGCATTTACACTTGCTGATTGAGATACAAGAACACATCGACAATGATGAATAGGTGGCTTGAGGTCGTCCTTGGGGGTTAAAGACCTGAGTTATTGAATATACATCAGTATTGCATAGACGTTTATGCTATGGTGGATGCGTCCATATGCGAAAAGGGTGGCTACTATCCCTCTTAGGTGAAAGTATTATGGTTCAGAAGTAAAACCTCCTCACTCGAGCATTTATTGATAAAGTCAACAAGCAGGTGTTCCTACGACATTGTGCCCTTATTCTAGTGCCAAAATATTATGGGAAGAAATCGTTGACATCTTAGTCAGCCTAATGTGGTTTGGACCCATATGTGTAGTGTTATCCAAGGTGTCTGAGATGGAAACGTTGAGCTCTCGAGGTATCACTTATACGAAGGCTAAGGTCGAGAGAGATTTCCGGATCTGGTCCCTCCAACACCTTTTCATTGTTGGTCAAAAAAGTGATCCTACCCTTTTCATCATGTTAAAGATGAGCTTTAATACCTGATCGTAAATGAATAAAATATTTCATAAAATATTCTATGGGAAGATAACCTCTAACTGCATCCAATAGCTTCTTCTTAACCTCTTAACCATGTGGACGAAAAGAGAAGGTAGCCCATAACCTCGTGCCTTGGACCCTTGCCCATGTGGGCAAATGAGTCTGATGATGGCTTTTGTCTTCTCCTTCCACCCCGGATTGTTATACGTTGAATAACGATTAGCTTACTGTGTACTCCTTATCACCTTCCAACAAAGCCTATTAAGTTTGTTTAAAAAAACTCCTAAGATCCTTAGTTCCTTCAATCTCTCATCAAAGATATTAATATGAAGTTACTTTAAAAAAATTATTTGATAACTTTTTTGTTATTTATAATTTTATGTTAGGAACATCTAATATTTTGAGGACACCTTTTATAAATGAATGTAAATATTTTTCTTTTCTTCTCATTGAATAGCGAGTGACACGCGATAGATAACCAACGATGTTATAGTAACAAGCGACATCGATACAACATAGAACGATGAGAGCTAGGAGAGGAGGAAGGGAGTGGGTGGAAACAAAGATAGGGAAGATGAAACAATAGCAGCAATCTTCGAAGCAACGGAGGAGGTAGAGTTGTAAATAATAATAATAATAATAATAATAATAATAATAATAATAAATAATAATAAAGATGTTGTAAATAATAAAATAATATATTTTTATTTTTTTTTAAAGCTTACCAATAGGAAAAGGATTGCCAAATGTAAAAAAAAAACAAATAATAAACTTTTTACTTTATTTAAAAAAATAAAACAGAAAAATAATAATAATCACAAAAGAAAACAGAAACCGTCATCAACTAACACCAAAACTTCTCGCTCCCTCTATTTCCCTCCGTCGACGCCTTCGAACAAAAGCCCTCCTCCTTCCCTCTCAACCAAATCCCTCGCTCTTCATAGGGCCTCATCGCCCTCCCCCCGCCCACCTCCCTCCGACCGGAAGCCGCATCCGGACCCGATGAGCGACCACCCGAGGAAGAGTAACTTCAGCATCGAGCCATTCAAGAACCCGGTGATCCTCGACCCCGGCTACGCCGATAAGACATGGAAGATGCTCGAGCACGGTATTCGCAACATCTTGAACAATAACTACGACGGCCTCAGCTTTGAAGTGCTCCACAGGTGCTGCTGCTGCTGCTGCTTCTGCTTCATCGCTTTTGAAGCTGCCCTTTTTCGTACTCTATTAATTTTACTATTGCTGATTGAATGAATGTTAAGAATCAGAGGGACACGTTTACTTATACAACTATGTGAGACCTCATGCATGAGAGAAAGGACACCTTGAGATTGATGTCAGGAAAGTGTGTTACTGACCTGTGATCCTGATTTGTGCTTTTGTAATGGACCCAGGAATGCTTACAATATGGCGCTCCATAGATTTGGAGAAAAGCTGTACTCCGGTCTGGTGACCACCTTGACGAGGCACCTACAAGAAGTATCAGCATCGATTGAGGCTGCCCGAGACGATCAATTTCTAGAGGAACTGAACAGAAGATGGTTGGAGCATGACAAGGCATTGACGGTGATTCGAGATCTTCTGGCTCCCATGGACACTACATACGTTTCCGAGTCTCATAAGTCGCCTGTTCTCAGACTTGGATTGGATCTGTGGAGAGACAATGTCATTCACTCCAAGGAAATCCAGGCCAGGTTACCCGACGCACTTCTTCGCATCATACAAAGAGAGCGGATGGGCGAAGTCATAATTCGAGATTCGGTGAAGAACACGAAGATGCTAATGACGTACCTGGAACCTTCATTGTATGAGAAGGATTTTGAGAAGCCCTTTTTGGATGATTCGGCCATTTTCTATGCTGGCGAGTCGCAGGTGCTTATCGAATGCTGTGACTGTAGGGAGTATCTTAAAATGGTCGAGAGGCGGCTCCGGGAAGAGAAGGAGAGGGCCTCTCACTATTTGGCTGATAGAACTGAACCAAAAGTACTTAGCATCGTGGAGGAGGAGATGATTGCTAAACACATGAGAAGACTGGTCCATATGGACTCTGGCCTCGTCAGTATGCTTCTCCGTGACGAGTATGAAGACTTGGGCAGAATGTACAGCTTGCTCCGGCGATGTACCGGAGGCGTCTCCACGATACGCGATCTCATGACTTCACACCTTCGGGAAACAGGGAAGCAGCTGGTAACGGATGCAGCGAGCTCGAGGAATCCTGTGGACCTTGTTCAGCGGCTTCTGGATAAGAAGGATAAGTATGATAAGATCATCACTGGTGTATTCGGCGACGACAAGACTTTCCAAACTGCTGTGAGTACTTCGTTCGAGTATTTTATCAATCTCAATAGCAGGTCTCCAGAATTCATTTCTTTATACGTCGACGACACACTCCGTAAAGCCTCGGAGGGAGACGGCGGAAAGGATGTAGAGATCGTCCTCCACAAAGCGATGACGCTTTTCCGGTACCTGCAAGAGAAGGATGTGTTCGAGAAGTATCACAAGCAAAACCTGGCGAATCGACTGCTCTCGGGGAGAGCAGTTTCAGATGATGCCGAGAGAAGTCTGATAGTGAAGCTTAGAGTTGAGTGTGGGCATAACTACACCTCCAAACTCGAAGAGATGCTTACAGATGTCAAGTTTTCCCAGGATATCATGCGAGGGTTCTACGCCAGCCAAGGTGTTGATGAAGAAGCTGGGGAAGGCCCGACTCTGGCTGCCCAGGTTCTCACCGGTGCAATATGGCCATCCCGACCAAGTACTGCATGCAAGCTTCCAGATGAAATCCATGATGTTTGCGAGAAATTTCGAGCATATTATCTCGGATCTCATGCATGCCGGAAACTAACGTGGCAAACTGACCTGGGCACCGCCGATGTGGTGGCCACCTTCGGAAACGGCCAGAAGCACGAGCTGAATGTTTCGACATCCCAAATGTGCGTTCTCGTGCTGTTCAATTCAGCAGACCGGTTGAGCTGCAAGGACATCCAACAAGCAACTGCGATGCCGTTGCCGGATCTCAAGCGGTGCCTTTGGTCTCTTGCTTGTGTTCCGGACATGAATGTGCTCTGTAAGAATCCGACGAACAATGTTATCGCAGAGGATGATGTTTTCTGCGTCAATGACAATTTCACAAGCAACTTGTTCCAAGTTAAGATAGATACGGCGGCAGCAGAGGAGGAGTCGGAGTCGGAGCAGCAGGAGATTCGCCAAAAAGTGGAGGAAGCCAGGAAAGATCAAATCGATGCTGCCATTATCAGGGTCATGAAAGCCCAGCGGGTGTTGAATCTCAATAGCCTCGTCACAGAGGTCGCCAAGCAGCTGCAGCCGCGCGTCCTGCCCGATCCTGCCGTGATCAAGAAGAGGGTTGAGTCCCTCATCGAGCGGGAATATCTGGAGGACAACAAAAATCAGTATCAGTATATTGCCTAGACGTAAATATTAGTGTGTCCACAGAATCCAGGCCTAACTCCGCAACCTGCATGCGATCGAAGCCTCTCTACTGCTGCTGTCGTCGTTCCCTCTTCATTTCACTTTTGGCTCAATCAATCGCAACTTGTATATTATAAATTTTGATCCTATGAGTGACACAGAAATTTGATTTGCAGACAATTCAACCTTTCTCTATTTATCCCCAATAAACTTGATTGATACAGTATAATAATTGACTCTTTCCTATGTGATTCCCTGGATGAAGTGGCCGTGGCGGAAGTGGGGAAGGCTTTTAGGGCAAAACTTTGACGGAAGCACACTGTGAGATCGATGCATCAGGGGGAACCCAATCGGAATGTGATCGAGATACGATGGAGATGAGGAAGGAGATTGGAGGGACAATCAGATCATGGAATAGATCAAGGATTTTGAGGGAGGGATGAAGGAGAATAGAGAGGATCTCACCTGAAGCCCTCACTGCCACTCCGCCGTGTCCGCCTCTTCGCTCGCCGAAGCAACCACACAACCGAGAAGAGTAGGGACTCCTTTTATACTGGAGGCCCCTTGCTGAACCTTTTTCCCGGTTCGGTTGGACCGGCTCGGCTAGTTTTTGGAATTCTCTCTCTTTTTCTTTTATCCTATTGACGCCGCTGCTTTCCACACTAGTTTTTGTGCCCATCGCAACACTACTGCAAGCACAGGATTTGAAGCGCCCCCAACAAAAAACATATCCGTCTTCCAGCGGAGAGCAACGGCGAGGTGCCCGGTTTCCGTGCTCCGAGCACTCAATGCCCGGCGCAAGAGACCAAAGTCCACGCCAACCCACCGGCCGTGTGCCAACGGGTTGGCCCTTCTCATGCACACCGTGCCTTCGTCTCAAGCCTCTGCTCCTCGGGAAAGCGACCTCCATATCCTGAAAGTGTCCACGGAGTCTAAGAATCTTGCTTTAGGGAATGCCGTCCATGCCCGCTTGATCAAAACCTCCCAGTTCGACGTTGTGCCATCGAATCATCTACTAGGCTTGTACTGCAAGTGCGATCGGCTGAGTGCCGCCCGTCAACTGTTTGACGAAATGCCTGAGAGAAACGGTGTTTCCTGTAATTTGCTCATGGCAGGTTATTTACATGGTGGATTTCCCACGCAAGCTCTTTCTGTATTCAAACTGATGAGTTTCGGGGAACTGTTGTTTCATCCGAATGAGTACGTCTTCACGACTGCCCTGGCTTCTTGTGCTGATATTTCGGCTCTTAATGAGGGTCGGCAATGTCATGCTAATGTCTTGAAATCTGGACTGGTCTCACATTCGTACGTCAGGAACGCACTGCTTCACATGTACACCAAATGTTTAGATATGGAATCTGCTCTGGGTGTTTTCGGGGGTGGCTCAGATTTTGACCTCTTCGTGTTCAATTCCATGATCAATGGCTTTTTGGATAACGGACAACAGAGTGAAGCTAAGAACATCTTGAGTCGTATGGTGAAGGAGATTGCCCAGTGGGATCACGTCTCATATGTTTCTGTTCTTGGCCTTTGTACTGATTCAAAAGATCCAAAATTTGGGGGCCAAATTCATGGTCAAATTTTGAGAAGAGGAATGGAGTACAGTGATTTCGTTTGCAGTGCAATTGTAGACATGTATGGAAAATGCAGTGATGTCCAGAATGCTGTGCTTGCTTTTCATGAGCTGCCGGGCAAGAATGTGGTTTCATGGACAGCAGTCATGGCTTCCTGCACTCAAAATGGTCACTTTGAAGAATCCCTCAAGTTATTCATACAGATGGCAGATGATGGTGTTCAGGCCAATGGGTTGACATATGCGGTCGCCCTGAATTCATGTGCAGGTTTGTCAGCTTTAAGAAGTGGTGATGCACTGAATGGCCATGCTGAGAAAACAGGATGTAAGTCTTATCTTAGTGTTGGTAATGCTTTGATTAACATGTATTCTAAAAGTGGTAGCATTGATGACGCAACTAAAGCTTTCACAAGCATGCTTAACCGAGATATTATTTCTTGGAATTCAATTATAAATGCTTATTCCAATTTTGGGTTTGCTAAGGAAGCTTTGGAAACTTTTCATAACATGTTAGCGGAAGAAGAGACACCAACTTGTGTAACTTTTATAGGGGTGCTATCAGCTTGTGCGCATCTTGGGCTAGTAGATGAAGGATTCTATTATCTGAATCATTTCATGAGAGAATTAGGAATAGAACCTGGAAAAGAGCACTATACATGCATGGTTGGTCTCCTATGTCGAGCTGGGCGGTTAGATGAGGTTGACAGATTCATGAGAGACACACGCACTGAGTGGGACATTGTGGCATGGAGAACTCTTCTCAGTGCTTGCCAGGTACATGGGAATCATGGTCTTGGTTACAAAGTTGCTGAGCACATACTTCAATTGGATCCCGATGATGTAGGAACATACATTTCATTGTCGAACATGTACTCTAAGGCAAGAAGGTGGGATGGTGTCGTAAAGGTTCGGAAACTTATGAGACAAAGAGACATCAAGAAAGAACCTGGAGTCAGCTGGATACAGATAGGGAATGAGACCCATGTTTTTGTTTCGGAAGATAAGAAGCACCCTTGGATGGAGCAGATTACTGAGAAAGTAGCAGAACTTATAACTGAAATAAAGCTGATTGGCTATGTACCCAATATTGCCTGTGCATCTCATGATGTGGAGGATGAACAGAAGGAAGAATATCTTAGATACCATAGTGAGAAACTAGCTATTGCTTTTGGAGTGATTCGCATGCCACCAGGAGCAGCAATCTACGTCATGAAGAACCTTCGGATGTGTGATGATTGCCATGTTGCCATGAAACTTATTTCAATTGTGACAAACAGAAAATTAGTTGTTAGAGATGCTAATCGCTTCCATTGTTTTGAAAGCGGATGTTGCTCTTGTGATGACTATTGGTGATTCAAGGGGATTGTAGGATAAAAAAAAAACACACACAAGATTAGTGATTGCTTGAAAAGAGAGACTGTCACCATCAATTTAGTTGGATTGGTGTTCTTTATATTTCAGTCTGTGATTATTGGACCGGAATCGGTTAAAGCTAGACACCAAAGCATCAGGTGGATTACCCTGTATCACTAATCTGTTTTGGAAGTCTAAATTGTAATGTACAAATTAGTACGATATATTCAAACTGTTCCGTTAACTTTAACTTTTAGTATAGCACATTGTGTTTGTACTGAATGGCCATTATGTCTGTACTCAAAACTGAGAAGTTCAAATAAAAAGAATTCACTAAATAAATGTTCTTTCTTTTTGCCTTTTTCTGTCTTCAGCAACTTGTGTAATTCATTTGCTATTCCGAAATTAATATGCCAGATGTGGTTATTCCTGATCGTTTCATGTTTGTCTCAGGTGATGTGATTTCATTGTGATTTATTTGTGACTTTGTATAAAGCCTAAGCATTTTCTTCTTGTTTTCAGTGCTAATCAGATTCCATTTTATTGGAAACATAGGGTTACTGTACATCAGAATTCTTAAAGCTGTTAAATTCTCCTTGAAAGAAAACTTCATAAACTTTCCTCCAATCAGTTTATTGTTGTTCACTTATATAAACTCTTTAGTTGGCATGCTTTTGTGCTCCTTTGTTATGTAAACAAATTTGTTAAACATATGCTCTTTTTAGTGTAAGCAACTTATAGCCTGATTTCTTTTCTGGGGGAAAAAAAATAAAGCATGATTTTCCTGAACAGAAATTAACTTACTTTTATTGATTTAGAATTCCAAATAAATTAGAGCTATAAATTGTCAATAATTAACTTTTATAGCTGAGCATATCATGGTAGTCTCATTATCTTAGCACAGACTTGATCCATTGAATGCACTCAATAGTATGCTGCTCTCTTTGTTGTCCAAGTTCTAAAAATTCAAGAGAATATGGATCAGTCTACCATTTCAGTGAGAAACTTTTATGATATCAAAAATTCTAATCTTATCATTGTCCAATTCTCTGAAAAATCAAGTGAGAGTATAGATCTTTCAAAAGATCTCCCTCATAAGAGCAAACCAAAATAGTTTCAATCATTGGGGTCATGTTTGTTGTGCTATTATATGATGGAGGTAGATATGAGATGAGCATTTGCATTTAATGGATTCTGTCAGTGATCTTAGTAGACTCTGCTTCTTCAGTGTTGCATCAATCTCAAAATAGATCCACTTGTTGATTCATTAAATTAGAAAGCCAGGTTATCCAACTCCCTACTTTTAATTCACTCAACTACCTTGTCACCAACCTGCTTGTTCTCTTAAATCTCTGAGCACTCCATCTGACAGCTATTTGGTCAAATAGCAAAACAATGGTACTTCAGGAAACTACAAATACTCACAGAATGCCCAATCCCTGGCAGTAGTATTAGACTGATGATTCCTTGATGCATGACTTGCCATATTGAACTTTTAAGATACAACCATGCAATGCCAAGAATAATAGCTTCCTGTTAAGGTTCATTCTCAAGGCAATCTAAGCAGATTGTTAGTCTCAATGCAAAGCTCAGAAGATAATATTATTTCCATTACCAGATAGGAAGTCTCAGTTCATCACTTCCATACACAAGACTCAATATTACAACAACTCTCAAGCAAACAGCTAATCGAAGTGATTCCTCAGAGGAACTTCATCTTCCAAGCTGATATCAAGGAAACAGGAAAAGGAAATCAGAAACCAAAAAGGAGTTGACCCATCTGCAACTTGGCGGGTGGTCAGAGTCCACCACCGCTGCCAACTTCTTCCCAAAAGGAGAAGAAATCCCCATCCCTTTCTTCTCCTTCAAGCTCAGTCTAAAGCTATATACTGAATAAGTCGAAGAGCCAAAGCAAAATAAGCTCCTCTCACCTAGTGCTGCTATACTGCATGATGCATTAGTACCTCCCTGTGTAAAGGTTGGCAGGTTAAGCAAACTGACCACCACTGAAGGTTTGGCCAAAAGACCAAGCAGAAGGAGCCACATTGTAGGCGACCACAGAGCGACCATCACT